GTTAAATGGTTGGAAGTAGTTATCTTAGAAGTAAATTTGGCTTATTTAATTTTATCATTATCATCATAGTGATTATACAAAAACATTTTAAAGATACTTCAAAAAATTTTGTCACAACAAAATATTGTTTTCAGATTCATCAGTAGTGTACTGAGTAAAAAAGATACTATTAAAAGATAATTTTAGACATTTAAAATAAGATTTATAATGATTGATTCTAGATGATATGTTTTTGAAATGACATATTTTAATTTCCTTTCAAAGTTTCTGTTTATCATTTTAGAATTTGAGACTGACAATTACAGTAGTCTCTCTATAGTTCAATACATATCACTCTTAAGCCAAAGTTTATATGCTGAACTAGAACATCTAAAAATTATATATTTGGATAATTCTAATCACATGTGTGATGAGACACCATACACTGAAATTGTAAACATACTGGAAGGTCTAATTTTGGTTTTCAATTCATTGCATTTGTGAAATGATATGGTTGCCAGATACAATTGCCACTTGCCATGTATTGTATAGGATGTCATGTATTTTAAGTGTAGTATGCATGGTATTATTATTATTGTTCTTGTTGTTATCATTACTGAAGTGTTATTTTAATATGATATAATGGATATGTTGTTGTTACTGTTTTTTGTTCTGTATATTCTGTATACTTTGAGTTTTTTGATAGTTTGAGGTGGTCTTATTCCCATCAATTTGAATTATCAAGACTTCACTATATAAGCAAATTTGAAGACTTGTTCATTTTGCTGGAATAAATATTGAATAAATTATTCTTATTGGTTTTTCTACTAATTATAATTAATCTACTAATTCTACTTTTACATTTTTGTGTATATCACATAGATTTTTATTTAAATGAAACTAATTTTATGATTTAGAAGTGAAAAACTTGATTTTCTTTTAGGAGAGAAAAGTTTCCATTAGAGATCTTAATCCTCATATTGTATGTATACTTTGTGCTGGATATTTTATTGATGCTACGACTATAACAGAATGTCTGCATACATGTAAATATAACATTTATTATTATTATTATATTATATTATTAAATATGAAATTTAATAATTTTAAAATCATTTCAGTTTGCAAAAGTTGTATTGTTAAATATCTACAAACAAGCAAATTTTGTCCAATGTGTAATGTAAAAGTACATGAAACTCAACCACTTCTTAACTTAAAAGCAGATAGAACGCTTCAAGATATTGTTTACAAAGTTGTACCTTCCTTGTGGGAGAGTAAGTTTTTGTTTTTACTTAAATCTGTTGTATTAATAATTTTTTAAAATTTAAATAAATTTTATCTTAACACAAATACAGTAAAATATAACAACCAAATATTTTGTTCTGGAAAATAAAATTATACTAAATATTATTGCGTTGTTCAGAAAGTAATCTCGTTTTTTTTTACCATTAGACAGATTAGTCGTATTTTTCCCTATGCTAACAGCGCATTACATACTAAGGTTTGTGGTTAGTGTGCCAAGCCTGGACTTGTGCAGCCAAAAATAAAATATCATTACTAAAGATCAAATGTTGAAAGAATTACTATATATAATATAAAAAGTTATACAGTAGATACACTCCGTGTTTTATGAAATTCATGTTGTACGAGTCCCTAAATACATGAGCTAATCACAGCTTGGCATGTATGCAGTTTACAGGCTACAGCTGTTTGAAAGGTTTTCTTCCATAAAATTAATCGATTCTAGACTAATATGACTCAATATTTCCAAAACATGTATAATTTTTTGGGAATAATCCATATAAACTATGCTATGAACAAAAAATTGTAGGATTACTTACCGAGTGTGCACCGTTCAACGACGCCATTGCTTAAGCTTGTTTTTATCGCGGATGGCACATCGAATGGCACTCGCATGCTTCCTGATAAGTTATTTTTCTGCGAAAAATTTGCTGAACTTTGGAGACATTATTAATTAATATAAATATAATTTTTATGGCTGTTAAATAATAAATGATTTTTAGTAGGTCCACTGCTCATTTAAACTTAACGGTTTGTGCAATATCCTCTATTGATCTAGATTTGACCAATCCTGTCATGACACGAGTCAGCGATGACGTTTTACCGTATCATATGAGTCTCTTTTAGCATGTTTATACGAATACGATTGCAATTTTTTTGCCGTTATATACGAATCCATATATGAACCCATTTTATAGGGGTCTACTGTATTTATTAGTAAAGCTGTATATGTATAAGTAAATATCACTAGAAAATCTTTTTAAAATAAGAAAAGATACTTTATCAAATTAAAACAAGTATGTACAAAACTTTCCTGACAGTTTGGGAGCCTAAATCAAATTAGAACTATCTTAATTCCTTGTCAGTTGTATTTCCACACAACAGACAAGGAAGTTAGTAATTAATTCTATCTTAAAATACAATGAATCTTACAAATTTGACTATGCATCACCAAAAACTCTGTTACTGGAACTGGAAAACCTTTCATCTATCACTTCATTCTTAGCACCACTTTATTCAAATCTAAGCTTCACCTTGTTTGAGTCGTTTGTCTCCTTTTTATGCAGCAGGTGTGGTGACATTACAATGTAGTCACTCACTCAACCTATTTACATACTTACAAAATAATAATTTATTTGTTCTAGTAGTAAGTTTTTTAATAAAATTATAAAAAAACGACATTTTTACAAAGGTGAGAACCTTGTTTCTGTCAGTCTTTCCGCCGTTTCATTTGTACACCATCAGCGATCCTTAAGACAATTCACAAAATTTTCCGGGGACGACCTTCCTTTTAAGGCTACTGCCTCGGTAAAAAAATGTAAAAACAGGCAAAGCGTCCTCTGGTGTTCGTTGCCACTGTCACAATATCACATTTTAAATAAAAATTGTAAAAAGACATGGCCGGCGGTAATTACATTTAATAAAATTATAAAAAAACGACATTTTTACAAAGGTGAGAACCTTGTTTCTGTCAGTCTTTCCGCCGTTTCATTTGTACACCATCAGCGATCCTTAAGACAATTCACAAAATTTTCCGGGGACGACCTTCCTTTTAAGGCTACTGCCTCGGTAAAAAAATGTAAAAACAGGCAAAGCGTCCTCTGGTGTTCGTTGCCACTGTCACAATATCACATTTTAAATAAAAATTGTAAAAAGACATGGCCGGCGGTAATTACATTTAATAAAATTATAAAAAAACGACATTTTTACAAAGGTGAGAACCTTGTTTCTGTCAGTCTTTCCGCCGTTTCATTTGTANCCGGCCATGTCTTTTTACAATTTTTATTTAAAATGTGATATTGTGACAGTGGCAACGAACACCAGAGGACGCTTTGCCTGTTTTTACATTTTTTTACCGAGGCAGTAGCCTTAAAAGGAAGGTCGTCCCCGGAAAATTTTGTGAATTGTCTTAAGGATCGCTGATGGTGTACAAATGAAACGGCGGAAAGACTGACAGAAACAAGGTTCTCACCTTTGTAAAAATGTCGTTTTTTTATAATTTTATTAAATGTAATTACCGCCGGCCATGTCTTTTTACAATTTTTATTTAAAATGTGATATTGTGACAGTGGCAACGAACACCAGAGGACGCTTTGCCTGTTTTTACATTTTTTTACCGAGGCAGTAGCCTTAAAAGGAAGGTCGTCCCCGGAAAATTTTGTGAATTGTCTTAAGGATCGCTGATGGTGTACAAATGAAACGGCGGAAAGACTGACAGAAACAAGGTTCTCACCTTTGTAAAAATGTCGTTTTTTTATAATTTTATTAAATGTAATTACCGCCGGCCATGTCTTTTTACAATTTTTATTTAAAATGTGATATTGTGACAGTGGCAACAAACACCAGAGGACGCTTTGCCTGTTTTTACATTTTTTTACCGAGGCAGTAGCCTTAAAAGGAAGGTCGTCCCCGGAAAATTTTGTGAATTGTCTTAAGGATCGCTGATGGTGTACAAATGAAACGGCGGAAAGACTGACAGAAACAAGGTTCTCACCTTTGTAAAAATGTCGTTTTTTTATAATTTTATTAAATGTAATTACCGCCGGCCATGTCTTTTTACAATTTTTATTTTTAGTAAGTTTTTTCCTCATATCATCTTTTTCACAATTTTATAATACTTTCTTTGTGTTTTCTGATAACAATTTGGGGTGGGAGATCATTCTTTTAGTTTCCTGTGGAAGTCTCCCAACCCCAAGATGTCAGTTTAGGATGATGACATCATTTTTTCCTGTCCACAGTAATTGTAAAGTCAGTTTTTAACTTTAAAAATTTTGTATAGGGAGTGTGGTGGTCTATCCTTAATGAAATAAAACGCTCCAAAATAAATAGAATAATGAACTAAAAATAATCCCCAAACAAAATAGAATGGTTCAGAATTGACTTTTTACAAAGATAGTACAATCCAAGGTAGTACAATCCAATGGCTTTGTAGTATCTCTGCATGAGGAGCCATCAGAAACAGAGCTTTTAATGTTGTTATATTATTGTTACATTGAAACTAATAATTATAAAATTGTTTTTTATACGTAATCAAAATTTATTCCGTGCACGAATTTCTAGTTTTTCTAGTTGTCTAGCAAAGAATAATCGTTCAATAATGCTCAGAATATTCTTAGTTCTGTCCAGTAAATATCTCGGAATTCAGACTCAGTGTTCTGTGTTACTGAACACGTCCCAGGTAACTTAACCAACTCGTTNGTTTATTATAATTTATTTCATTTTTTAAAAATATATTTTTAAAGAAATGTTTAATAAACATTGAAATAAGAAATAACAAAATGCCTAACAATATATTTTAGATGAAATGAAAAGAAGACAAGAATTTGAAAAGGCAAGAGGATTAAAGAAACTTCAAAAAGAAGGTAATAGGGTTAAATTCTGTAGACTGTATATTGGTTTAAAATATTTCATTGAAATACAGTTTTTATATGAACAAGAAGAAAGAAAAGACTATTTTGTGGAAACTTTTTTGTTATAAAATTTCATATATATTTGTAAATTTCAAATGATGATATTAGATTTTAAAGATACAGGTATGAAAATATAGTTCACTTCACGCCAGCCTTTAGAAATTAAAATTATGACACTTACGTGTTGCGGCGTTATTGACAGCGATTTGTTAAATTTCAGATATGTTCGCTAGTACTTTCAACAGTTTACGACTGTCGTCTTCAGGCGAAATCGAATACCTTTGTTTTCGAATTGATAGCTTTTAACGGACTTTTCAAATTACGTAATGTCGATCTCGTGCATTACGTAATTTGAAAAGTCCGTTAAAAGCTATCAATTCGAAAACAAAGGTATTCGATTTAGCCTGAAGATGACAGTCGTAAACTGTTGAAAGTACTAGCGAACATATCTGAAATTTAACAAATCGCTGTCAATAACGCCGCAACACGTAAGTGTCATAATTTTAATTTTTAAAGATACAGGTTGTTTATAAAGACACTATATATTTTGGTGAAAGGGAAATTTTCAACAAATGTATAAAAATTCAATTTTTTACAAAGTATGCAAGTTACAAGAGAATCCAATCTAAAAAGTAATCTTACAAGGAAAAAATTTAATGATTTCTATCTCTTTTCATCGTACTTTGATCAAACTCTTTTAAATTAATTAACTAAATTGTATTATATCTAGGTACAGTTTATGAAATTTTCTGCAAATTTCTCCCTAATATCCTTGAAATTTTTTTGTTGTGGCAAATTACAATAAATACACATTTCTCTGCATTTATTATGGAAATTATGGACCTCAAAAGAAAATAATAAATGCTTAAATTTACATAAATGTTACTAATATTAACATTTCCTTGAAATAGATCTGTTTCATAAAACTACATAGTGAATTTATGGATATGCCTGTGTATAAAAATCATTTTATCCGTATATGTAAACATAATATATAACTCATAAAGAGGAATATACATTATAAAGTTTTTTGTTTAAAAAATATTTTTATAACGTATTATTAATGTATGGTAAAGTTCAATATAATTTTTTTTCAATCAAGTTAGTTCATCTGATAAGAAATGTAGTGTATAATAATATAATGTAAAATATATAAAACATAATTACTAACAATTGGTTTTATTAAAATAGAAAATGAAGATAATGAACAAGATCAATCAGAAGATGGCAAATTTTCTTCTCATCATTATTATGTTCATGATGAGTTAATTCATATTTGCATAGAATATGTAGGGTAAGTCAGTCTGAGTACAATTTGTAAATGAAATATACTAATAAAGTTGTTAAATATTTTATTTAATTATATTAATTTAAATTAATTAAATTTTGAAATAAAAATGATTTGGTTTAAAACTCTGAAAAATGTATTTTAATTCTTTATGATTCTATTTTGCATTCAGATTAGACAAAATGTTTCAATTTAAACTGTAATGAAATGAATTCACAGAAGTTTTTCAATTTTATTAATTTATGTATTTATGTATACAGTTGAGGCTCCAATAACAACCATTTTTAAACAGTAGTAATTTTTTCAGTAACTTTGAATTTTTTCCTAAAAAAATAATAATACAAAATAATCTCCAAACAATGGCAATTTTTTTGTTTCCATCAGAGGTTTCACTGTATAAATGCTTAAGAATTTCTGCAGTGTGAGAGTTTTGTTAGATATTAGAAAATTATTGTAATTTCCTAAGATTTATTTTAGAAAATTTTTAATAGATAATATCATTTGATTATCTACAACATTTAATATATAATTTTACTGTAAAGAAAAGTAAAACTATTTTATTTTTAGTTGAATAGAACTTTCATAAAACAATCTTTTCTTTCATTTGAATAGAAACATCATTTAGTTCTTGGATGTACTGTACATTGTTGAATAATTAGTAATCATATATTCTACATTGTTTATTGCCTTTTAATATTGTTTGGTTTCTCCAAAGTTTTTAATTAATTTATTCATTACATGCTAATTTCCAACCACTCTTGGATTTTTTAATCATTTTTCAAAAATTACAAAAAAATTATAGTACTGTTTTACAAATTAACTGTTTGTATTTTACTTGACTAAGACATTTGCAGCTTGATCTGATACATTACATTATTTCACAAGTTATATTTATTGACAGGTGTTTTTATCCTTTGAAATATGCACCTTCTATTAATTCTTGTTTTATTTTTTGAAATCTTTCCAGTTAAGGCTATAAGATGTATTTCTTTATCTTATGCATAAGTAGCTTATAATGAATTAGAAAATGTAGATGAAAAGCTAAACATAGTTATACAAAATAACTAAAGGGCACCCGGGAAATCATGTTACTCCCTGTTTTTTTTTTTTTTTTTCTTGTAAAAGAGATACTAAGACACATTTTGTTAAAATGTGCTTTATACTTGTCCAGAACATCAGCATGAGCTCCATTGTGATTACAACTGTGTGTGATACTGTGCCAGTAACTACACTGAGGTGTTTTGCAGAGATAATCTGGTATGAGAAGAGAAAATGCTTCCATCATTGCATTCTTTATCTTGTTATCTTTGAAAAAGCCCCACAAGATGTAATCTGGGTGTAAGGTTGAAATTCCTTGATGGCCGTAGGAGCAATTCTGGGAATGCTTTGGATCCACAATCAATCCTTTTGTCTTGGGACAGTTTGTCCAAGCACCTGCAACTTTCTCAGAAAGAAAATCAATCAACAGCACTACCAGACAACAGAAGCATTGAAGAATGCAGTGAGAAGAGCATTTTCTCTTCTCACACCAGATTATCTCTGCAAAACATCTTGATCAGCTGGCACTGTATCAGACTGCTGTGATTATGATGGAGCTCATACTGATGTTTTGAACAAGTATATGGTAAGTTCTTGCACATAACATGTTATGGTATCTCCTTTTATAGGAGAAAGAAATACAACAGAAGATGACATGACTTCCTAGATATCCTTCACTTAAAAGTTCATTTCTGGTAAAAATTTAATAATTTTACAACTTTATAGAAGAATATGTTTGAAAATGTAGGATTGGTTTACAGAAATTGTAGTTATATTGTTTTGATAACTTGTGGTATTTTATATTATAATATCCTAGAATTTGGTAGTATCATTATTTGTTGTTCTCTGCAATTCAGCTAAGACTAGAATGTATAATTATGCTTGTAAAGACACTTTTCTAATTAAAAGTTAACTGAAATAAGCTAATGTAAAAGCAAATGCTAAACATTGGATAGCTTAACAGAAATAAAAATTTTCTTTTTTTTTCCATTAGTGTTGAGTCTTAATTATTATTTCCAAATTTAAGAACTTTTTATAGTATAAGAGTATAACTATTTAAAATGATTGTGTTTTGTAATTAAATGTAAATGTTCTGATTGTTGTTATTTTTATTGTTGATTTAAGTAAATTTCCAATTGGTATAACTATATACATATCAATAAGTTCTTTTAGTTTTTGAATTTAAATAATATGTTTTTTAGAAATAAATCTGGTGTAAAATTACCAAAGACAAAGAGTTTTGTAAGATGTTCTGTCAGAGCCCAGATTTATCACCTAAAGAAATTAATTCAGAAACTTTGGCCAGAAATAAGTGGAAAAGAGGTTTGTTATTTTTTTGTATTACTTATATTTGTTGTTCTGTGTAATTTTAATAATTATATATTTACATACAGATTGAAGTATTATGTAATAACAAAACAATACCTGAAAATCAATGTTTAAAAAGAATTTGGCTTTCTTCTTGGAAACAACAGGTAAATTATTTTTATAAAACTATTAATATTTATATTTTGTAGTATGATTAACAACTGTATAACTGTATCTAGGATATTCTTCAGCAAGGTTATATATTTTTGCTTGAGGTCATAGTTCCTAGAAACATTTTATAAACAACTGTTGAAGTAAATATTACTAATTTCTTGCTCATTATTGCTTCATTTAATTTTTGTAATCTAAAATTGTCTTATTTTGTTGTCAGTTTCATTTTGTGAAATAAGATATAGGTGAGGTTTGAGGAAATGGGGGATTAGTTCAATTTTGCAATTCTGAATCTCCAAAAATTTTTTTAATATTAATTTAAAACATGTTGTATTTTATTATGTAGCAGTAATAGTGGTTTTTTTTCTTCCTGAAACTAATAACAACAGATGATATAAAAAGAGTCATTAAAGGTGAAAATATATAATTTTTTACATAATAAGATAATCACATCATAATAAGATTACAAAAAATTAAAATATTCAAAATAAATTTTTGGAAAATTTAGTAAATCATAGAATTTTTCAGTATGAAATTTTTACCTTTACTTTTGGAAAAACTTTTATTAACTTTTATGTCTGTTATTAGTGTATAATATTAAGTATATAGCAATTGTATAAGATAGATAACATAATTCATATTTTGGATAATTTAGTATATAAAATATTTTAGTCATTTGACTTTTACATTGATATTTAATAACAGTGTCTTTATTATGGAAATTGGGATTATTTTATAACAGCAATTTAGATTATAAATATTTTGATTTTATTAGTACTAATAACAACAATAATGAGATAGATGCGAGATAATAAGATAGATCACATCATAATAAGATTACAAAAAATTAAAATATTCAAAATAAATTTTTGGAAAATTTAAAAAATATTGAGACATACTATTTATCCAAAATGCTAAAAATAATAAAATACTGAAATATATAAAACAGTTAAAGAACTATTCAAGAAAATCAAAATACACAATATGAGCAATGTAATATGTAGATAGCAGATACATTGATGTGTTCAAATAAAAATTTACAGCTGATGTACTGTGACTTAAATGATACAAAAACTAGACAATTATTCAATAATTGTAGAATAATGGCATAACAGAAGAACTGACAAAGTAGACATCAAAGAATTCCTTTTTTGGCACCAGAATTCCAGTGTTATCACACACAACGATAAAGCAGACTGAATCACAAAGAAGAAACAAATCATGCATCAGATATCAATTATACTGTATATGGAGAAAAACATGAACAAAAATCAAAATACAATAAAAAGAACACACAAAAACACCTGTAAATAACTTTCAGAATTTGTTTCAAAAGATTCTTTTTCTTTAATCAAAGAATTTGCCAAACATTTCATAATTGAAAACTACTTTACACTGCCCAAATCAACAATATTAAATATTATTATTCAGATCAGTGTTTTTTAGCTGCTGATCCATGGATTGGTGGCAATCTGTGAAAAACTTTCATGGCCTACAGAAAAATATTTGACTGTACTAACACTGGCACAGTTCATTATGGTGACATTTTATTAGTAATCTAGTAATACTAATAGTATTATATATAGTAATTACTGTATATACTTTATTACATACAGTACCTCTAGATAAGCATAAATCATAATCACATATAATTATTGGTCCACATAAAATTATCCGTAATTTTACTAGTCCATCATGAGCACAAGGTTGAGAAACACTGTTTTAAATCAAGAACTTTTTAAATGTAGACATAGAGGGTGACCGAAAAGTCTAGATGTGTGTAAATATCTCTATGGTAGGTTAAGATAAACAATGAGAGTACATGTTATGATGTGTGCCAAATTAAGTGATAACCATAAAGTTGAGCTTGAAGGGCATTTTTAAGGTCATTCAAAAAATATCTTTAAAACTAGATCTGAGACAAAAAATTTCTTCACTGAATGACATCAACAAAATTTTGCTCTTTGTTTTTTGGATTTGTTTTTGTTTTTATCTTCATGCTTTATGTACCAAACCATCAGTTCCCAAAGTATGTGTTGTGGCACCTAGGCTGCCACAGCTTCCTCACAAGGGCACCACAAAATGTTATAAAATTTTTATAATGTTAGAATTTAATGTACATGTTGGAATTTGACATAGGGCATTGTGGAAAAATCTGCATTTAGCAAGGGTGCCTAGAATCAAAGAAGTTTGGAAACCACTGTACTGAACAAAAGCAAATTCCTACTAATTTTTGCATAGCTTTATATAACTTTCTAATTGACATTTTGGTCTGTTTCACAGTTTTAAAGATATTTTTTGAATGACCTTAAAAATTCCCTTTGAGGTCAACATTATGGTTATCATTGGATTTGGCATACATCATTACATTACATGTATCTGGACTTTTGGGACACCCTGTATATGCTGTGGACTAACTGATAAATACAGACATTATAAATAATACCTGACCATTATGAATAATGTCAAACAAAATCAGGCACTGTAATAAATTTCATATTCTTTAACACATTGACTGGTCAATATAAATACTGCTATCATCTATCAGGTAAAGTGATGATAATGATACTATAAGGAATGATCTGACAAAATATTTAATGTTTTGTATATTGTAAACCAAATGACATTCCAGAAGTTTCCTTTAAGTTGATTTTTATGATTGAATTATATAATTTTGTTAATAATACTTTTTGTTAACATTAGTTAACAAAAAGTATTATTAACAAAATTAGTTAATTAATAGAGAGGTTGCGGCCGACGTTTTCAACGCGAAAATGTGTACGTCAGACATTCAGCGCCGCTTTCCTATAAGCCTAGAAATTTGACAATGATGTTTGGACAGTCAGTAGAATGATGCTTGACATTCCAAACACCATTGCCAAACTTCTAGGCCTTTAGGAAAGCGACGTTGAACCTCCGTCGTACACGTTTTCGCGTTGAAAACGTCGGCCGCAACCTCTCTAATAATGTTAATATTACTTATAAACTGGAATATTTTTTAGAAGTGAAATTTTCACAAATTATTTTGTTGAAAGCTCTATGCAAAGTAATAGCCAAAGTAAACTTACTTTAATGATGATTCTAATTATTATATAGTTTTATGTAATTAGTATACCTATATTTATTAGGTTGTTTGGAAAGTAAGTTTGTTTTTTTACCACTAGACAGATTAATCGTATTTTTTCCGCCATTTTCATTCTAAACCATATTATCTATATATATTTTGACAGCTTGCATTTTAAGGCTTAATTGTAAAAAATTTTGTTTGATTTTGTGCAATTGTTTATTTTTTGTGTTCCATCAAANGCCATTTTCATTCTAAACCATATTATCTATATATATTTTGACAGCTTGCATTTTAAGGCTTATTTGTAAAAAAATTTTGTTTGATTTTGTGCAATTGTTTATTTTTTGTGTCCCATTAAACATGAAAGATCAAAAGCATTATTTTCGATATACAGTGGTACCTCGGTATACGTCTGCTTTAGAATACGTCAAATTCGGAATACGTCCTGTTTGGACGAAACAAATTTTGCTCGATATACGACTTAATTCAATTATATGCACTGTCTATGAACAAGTAGCACTATCGGTATACTAGACCAGACTAGACGTTCGCGGTGCCACAGTTTATAACTTTATTAAATTTCTTCTGATTTTAATTTGTAAGTAAAATTTTATTATTTTTATTAATCATGAATTGCAAAAAGGCAAATGAAAAGCAACAGAAAACTAAAAAAAATGACTATAATCACAATGGAACTGAAAAAAAAAGATTTTGAGAAATATGAAGGTGGCATGAATGTTCGATATTTTAACTGTTGCATATCGTATTCCGAGAACGACGATATCGACAATCGTGAAAAATAAAGACATTATTAAATCTGCTAACGTAACGAAAGGGGTTAAAACAATTTCTAAGCAGAGATCGAAGACGTTAGATCATGTTGAGAAATTGCTTTTGCTTTGGATAGATGAAAAACAGTGTGCTAGAGACAGCGATCACAACCATTTAGTTGCGAGAAAGTTAAAAATATATATGCTGATTTCATGAAAAATTAAGCAGGAACTAACCAGGGAAGCAAGGTGTTTCAAGCCAGCCATTTTTTTTTAACATGAGAACGGATTAATCATTTTTACATTACTTCTTATGGGAAAGGTTGGCTCGGTATAAGTCCAAACATCAGGAACGGATTAAGGTCGTATACCGAGGTTCCACTGTATTTTGCTTTTTTATTACCAAAAAATTAAAATGCTGTTCAAGCGAGAAAAAAATTGTGTGACATGTATGGAGATGTATTGACAGAACGACAGTGCCAAAACTGGTTTACAAAACTTTATTCTGGCAATTTCAATATTGAAGATGCACCACATTCTGGATGGCCAGTTGAAGCCAATGAAAACAAAATAAAGGTACTGATTGAAGCAAACTGCCAAATAACAACATGTGAAATCACTAAGAGATTAAATTTGTCAAATTGAACTGTTTATGATTACTTGAAACAAATTAGTTTCATTTCAAAGCTTGATATATGGATTCCACATTTAAAGAGAGATGCTCTCTTTGGTGAGGATTTTAAGGAAATTTTTTTTTTGTGCTTTTACCAGACAATTTAGCAATTGATTCGAAAGTGTACTGCCATTGAGAAAACAAATTGAGTAATATCGTCAAACAGAAAAGGTGGCCAGAATTGATCAACAAAACAGATGTAGTGTTTTACCACGATAATGTCAAATTTCACACAAGTTTGGGAACTGGTCAGAAACTGTTATAACTTAGATGGGACCTGCTATCACACCATTCATATTCGCCAGATCAAGCACACCCAGATTATTACTTGTTCCGGTCTATACAAATTTTTTTTAACTGTAAGACATTTACTTGAAATGACAATGTCAAAAATCACTTGGATCAGTTTTTTGTAAGCAATGACAAAAACTTTTATGAATGTGAAGTCATGCTACTACCAGAAACGATGACAACAGGTATTTGACCAAAATGGTTGATATATAATTCAATAAAATGTTTATTTATTATAAAAAGATTGTTTTTTTTTTCACAGAAAAAAACGAGCTTACTTTCCGAACAACCCAATATATTATCCATATAATGTTTGTTGTTGCTAAAATACTTTGAAATAATTCACAAAAATAAGTGGAGTTTTTTTGAAAATCAAATTACCCAAGGAAATGTAGCTTTATTCGTAATGTCTGGTCAATTTAATAAATTAATCAATATTTTTCAGGCTGTATGGCCAATTTAGTCATTATAAATAATGATCTATTAGTCACTTGACACATAACTATAGGCATATGCAGAAAGGTGCAAACGATGTGTGTCCCTCATGGAAATGAGTAAAAAGTTCCAGAAATTATAATCATAAAAGTGGTTGAGATATTTGAGAGAAAAAAAAGTAAATCAATGCTGCTTCTGTTGATTTATTTTTTTCTCAAGTAAGTGTACGTCCTATGTGGCAGCATCCAACGACCACAAGCATCTTTGTACACGATTCTAATTCACCAACGACTTCTGTCCAGAGTGGAAGTGTGTTTACAAAATGGAGACGAGACGACTTTGTTGAATGCTTGCTATGAAAAATATGACAAGCATTAAAATGTTAAATTTGAAGGGTAAATATTATTACTGACTAGATACACAACAAATATAAAGAATCTTCATAGAATAAGTTCAAAAAATGTTTTATTTTTAAAATGTTGCATTTCAAAAATCAGAAATTATTAAATTAGGTAAAAATTATTAAAATATATACATGTATGCACAATTTATTTGGCATTCTGTTTTCTTTCATCTACAAGATCAGTCATTTTTTTCTTTGGAAGCATGAGCAGTGGAAGTGGCAATCAAATTTGCTTGGTAGCTGTTTCCTGCATGTGGATATAGAAGTGTCATCTGCTAGTCACTACATGCTAAACGCGGTTACTCCAGACAAGCACATTTGCTTGAACCAGTCTGTTCACTCCTCTTGGAAGTGCATTCATGCCCGCAGTTGCAGGATGCTGTCATGCAGGATGTACAGTACCCTAAGTGTGTTGGCATGAATTCCATACTACATTTCTACATTATTTTATTATTGAGATATGTAAACTTACTCCCTTGACCATAAGATGCTTTGTTTGTATTTTTCTGTCGATAAAATATTGTATTCTACAATCTATTTGTGAGAGAAAAAAATTAAATAATTACATATAAATTTATTGATATAATTATTTCTCCAAGCTTTGCCCTCCAGAAAATTTTTTGTGGAAACCCATGCCTGTAATATATACAAACAGCACACAAATGAGGTAAAACAATTGGTTTTAGTAGCTAAATGCTAAGACTTTATTTAACACTAAGCCAAGCATTTGCTGGATATTACATTTACGTCATTATAAATAATGATAAATGAAATAAATAAAACTAGGACTTTGATGTTATTATTTGCCAAAAAGGATTTATATCTTTCTGTGTATTTATTCTATTTAAATTCTATTTAAAATAATTTTTTACCTAATTAAAAAATTTTTAATGTGTTTTTTTTACAGAACCCACCACTACTATTACAGTTTACTGTCGAAACACACAAGTCATGATTCAAGCATGGTGCCTTTCACAACTGGAACATAGAGATTAGATTTATTGACAAATTCCTGCCAACTTAGATTATTAAATAAATGAATATATATATATATATATCTACATAAAAATTAAAATATTTGAAAAACTGTTAAATGTACAGTTATATAGTTATGTACAGAATATTGTTATTTACTTATATATGTTAATATGTTAACTACTTCAATATGTAAATAATATATAAACATATATAATATAAAAATTATTATAGTTATATACAACCATAAAATTGAAAACAAAACAAGGGAACTTGTAGAAATCGTTTTCTCAGAAATTCCCTTATTATTTTAGTAAATTTTCCAATCCATTTGAGTGTTTTATGTACAGTACATGACAGTGATGTATTTAATGTACATTTGTTGATTGTAAATTGGTTCTCCAATGTTGTTGAGAGTGAAAAATTAAGGTTAAAATTAACAAATGTAGTGTTTCATCCAACTATTAGCATATAAAAAAATGAAAGTTATAATTAAATTACAGGAGGCTGTAAATTAACAGAAATGTTGTAAAATATATTTTTCAGTAAAACATATGCAAAAATCTTCAAATTTCTTCATCTTCTGTAAAATGAAATTGTTCATATTAATATATATTTTTCATAAAGGTGAATGTTTTTAGATTTTTATTTATTTATTTTTAATTTATTTCAGATCTATTCAACTTTCTTTTATTTTAAATACAGATTTTAATACAAAATCTGTGTATTATTAGTTTCCTTATTCTGTTGATCATATTATATATATATATAATTTTCATTGTAAATTTTTACATGACAACTTTATAAAAAAGAAAAAATACTATTGAAATGTATATAAATACAATTAAATCCGTTGTATTAAAGTATTTATTCAATAATGAATTTTAAACATTCGTAGTTTTTTACTTTTTATATACATTATTAGTAATATTTGCTTATGTTTAAGTAACATTAATCAATGTATCTGTTAGAGTAGTACCGCCTACATTATAACTGAAATTTCATTTATCAAATGACCCATATGAGAACTTTTTCAGATATTATATCCTGTAACACACAGGATAAAAACTGTTTAACGGATATGCACCAATTATTTTTCCTATAATAAAATTCCTTACGAACTGATTAAGACAATGTTTAAGATATTTTGAATAAGATGGATTAGTAGAAGCTCAACAGGTAGAGTTTTTTGAATTTCCTTGATGAGTTATCAAATTTCCAGATTAATTTCTGGCATTTATAATAATAATAAACATAAAACACATTTTTTATATTTTCATTGTAGAATGATTTGTTTATATTAGTAGTTTATATAAATTAGATTAGATCACTTGACATTAAGCCATTCGATGGCGTAACTTGTGATTATGAATCATTAAGAAAATGTAAGCAAAGAAATTTAAATGAAAACCTTAATCTGACGTTTTGTAACTAAATAGTCTGTTAATTAGATGATAATTGTCTTTATTATGAAAGTAATAAAGACAATTACGTGTGTGTAATCGATATACTTGCATATATTGATTAGAGGTATATCAAATTAATTTTATATCGTAATCGTGTGAAACTACTAATGCAATTGTCTTTATTTTCTGATAATTTTTATCTGTAGTGATAAAGCGTTATTTTTTCCGAAATAGCATGATAAATAGCTATTTTCACAATAATTTTTAAATAAATTTAGAAGTTATCGAAATTGTTATGATATATTAAAAAAAAAAAAGCTTGTATCGATGGAAAAAGGATGTGCCAATTATTAGCCGGCTAATTTGTGCGCGTTTGGTCACTGGTTTATCAAACATCAAATTCTAATGTATGAGGAGATGACATTTTGTTAGTCTCTTGAAGAAAGGCTTCGCTCTTAAAAAAAATAGTAGGTGTAAAATGATTCAAAAAGTAAATGTTTATTTTATATTCATAATAATAGTAAATTTAAAAGAAAAAAACTCTCATTCTGTTGTTCTCCCATATTGTGATTGCCTGATTGGATGATGATAGTTTCCAACAAACTATGGCAACTGCCTTGTTTCCAATACGAAATACTTAATTGCTTGTAATTTCCTGCCTATCACCTTGAGTATACCTGTCACGTCTTATGTGAACATACGTACTCGTATATACATAAATGTACACCGTTTCTTTATTTTATTGTAAAATTAATAGTTAAAAAGAGGGTAAGAATGTATATACTCGAAATACAAGATACCGTCAATAGGTGGAGAGAAATAAAACGGTGATGGATGATGTACTGTACTTTATTATTATGCGAGGGATTTGCAAAACCTCTCGCAGCATAGGAGGATACCGCCTATCGAAACAAACTTTTATCTACTATACGAAATTAGAAGTGACAGGAACGGGAGGAGGATCCGCAATTCCAATACATTTTGAACTTCTATTCACATTTTGATTTTATGAACGATATAGCTTCTACTAATGGTTGATCCACATTATAGGAATGGACAGTGGCTTCCTACCAACAAAACATTGCATTGTGAGTTTTTAATAAAAGTATTAACACCAACCGTCACTAACAGTTGTTGGCCACCATCTTTGGCGAAAAAGTTTTGTCTATCTGTTCCTGGTCACATGTGGCTAGTGCAATGTAAGTTGCAAGTTGTTAATGATGCTTTTGGTGTTATATAATGATTGTGATCTTAGATGAAGGCACGAAGCGGGCCTTTTTTTCCATATTCGATCAGGCTCACAATGGAAGTGGTCGAAGGGCGAGGGACAGGATACAATCATGAAAAATTCCTGGGGATTTTCTCGCCAAAATTCAATCTCTGGTCCCCAGAGCAGTAGACAGATGCCTTGTAACTGCCTCATCCGGTCGTCACCGGATGTAAGTTAATAATCTCCGCCAACAAAACGGATAGTAACAAATATATAAAAGGATAATTGTCGGTTCAGTGACGGCCTCCACCAGCCAGCTGTATAGTGTGGATAAACATATGCTTAAATGCGTAGCAAACAACAAATATGCTTGATTTTATTCTGTCAGCTTACTGCTTTGAGGATTCGGGGAACGAACGGGTCGAAAAACTACAGGAATTTTTCGGGGACTGGTCTGGCCCAGTATCTTACCACACAACAGCCCTATCGTGAATCTGGCCCAAACTACGACGGGCTTAATAAAAACCCTCTCTGAGTACTCACAGGGCAGAAATAATTTTAAAAAATACCAAAATATGGTCAGTTTTGCATAGACATTCCTCCCCAGAGGCATACCCTTTTGGCAGAACGCCCATGTGTTAATCCATCCAATTCCTGAAACCACCTGTTGTTATCGCCCATATTCTGTCCATTGTTGTGGCCTTATATTACATATTCAAAGAAGTTCATCTTACATAGACCAGAACAGACTGACATTCTGACCAAGTTGTATTACTAACATCATCTCCGGGAAGACCTACAGATTATTACTAGTAATGATATCAAGTGTGAAATGGACTAAATACCACAAGATCCATTTGTTTTCTTGGTACAAAGATTACCTTTCTCTTCCCAACATAGATTCCACCTCCAGACACTTCGTCACGCTGTTCAACATTGAACCTTCAACCGAATCGATTTCTTTATATCCGCCAACCATGCAACAGTGACAAATGCGACATCTGTTCCTCTGTTATTTATAACACAACTCATAGACTACTTAAGTGTCCTATTTATACATATATATATATATATATATCA